CAATATGAAGGAAATGGATCAATATTTGTAATTATACCCTCTCCCTGGGCTTAGCCAGGAAGAACTAGATCTCCTGAACAGACAAATTTCAAGCACTGAGATCAAAGAAACAATAAAAAAATCTCTCAACAAAAAAATGTCCTGGTCAGGCGGCACCTGTGGCTCAAAGGAGTAGGGCGCCAGACCCATATGCTGGAGGTGGTGGGTTCAAACCCAGCCCCAGCCAAATGCAAAAAAATAAAAATAAAAATAAATGCCCTGGCCTGGATGGTTTCACACCTAAATTATATCAAACCTACAAAGAAGAGCTTATTCCAATACTTCAGAAATTATTTCAGAAAAATTGAGGAGGCAGGAATCTTCCCTCAACATGTTCTATGAAGCAAATATTACCCTGATATCAAAACCAGGAAAAGACCCAAGTAAAAAGGAAAACTTCAGACCGATTTCACTAATGAATATAGATGCAAAAATTCTCAACAAAATCCTAGCCAAAAGATTACAGCTTATCATGAAAAAGTCATATATCATGATCAAGTAGGTTTCATCCCAGGGATGCAAGACTGGTTTAATATACATAAATCCATAAACATTATCCACTGTATTAATAGAAGCAGAAACAAAGACCATATGATCCTCTCAATAGATGCAGAAAAAGCATTTGATAAAATCCAGCATACTTTTCTAATTAGAATGCTGAAGAGTTTAGGCATAGGTGACACAGTTTCTTAAACTGATTGAACCCATCTATGACAAATCCACAGCTGAATGGAGTTAAACTGAAAGCTTTTCCACTTAGAACTGTAACCAGACAAGGTTGTCCACTAGCACCACTATTATTCAATATAGTTCTGGAAGTTCTAGCCAATACAATCAGGCAAGAGAAGGAAATAAAGAGCATCCAAAGGGAAACAGAGGAGGTCAAACTCCCTCTTTGCAGACAATATCATCTTATACCTAGAGACCCCAAAGACTCAACCACAAGACTCCTGGAAGTGATGGAAAAAATATAGTAACATCTCCTGATATAAAATCAATGTCCACAAGTCAGTAGTCTTTGTATCTGCCAATAACAGTGAAGAGGAGAGGCTAAGTAAGGGCACAACTCCCTTCACCATAGGTTCAAAGCAAATTAAATACCTAGGAATATACCTAACAAAAGAGGTGAAGGACCTCTATAAAGAAAATTATGAAACCCTAAGAAAAGAAATAGAAGAGGATATTAACAAATGGAAGAACATACCATGCTCATGGCTGGGAAGAATCAGCATTGTTAAAATGTCTGTACTTCCCAACACAATCTACAGATTCAATGCCATCCTTATTAAAATACCAACATCATACTTTCAAGACTTGGAAAAAATAATCCTTCATTTTGTATGGAACCAGAAAAAGCCCCGTATAGCTAAGGTAGTTCTTAGCATTATAAACAAAGCTGGGGGCATTAGCCTACCAACTTTAGGTTGTACTACAAGGCCATAGTGGTTAAAACAACATGGTACTGGCACAAAAATAGAGACATAGACATTTGAAATTGAATAGAAAACCAGGAAATGAAACTAACATCTTATAGCCACCTAATCTTTGATAAACCAAACAAAAACATACACTGGGGAAATGAATCCCTATTCAATCAATGGTTCTGGGAGAACTGGATATCCACATGTAAAAGACTAAAACTGGACCCACACCTTTCCCCACATACTAAAATTGATTCAAGATGGATAAAAGACTTAAATTTGGGCATGAAATGATAAAAAAAATTCTCAAAGAAAGCACAGGAAAAATAATGGAAGACACTGGCCTAGGGAAAGACTTTATGAAGAAGACTTCAGTGGAAATTCCAAGAACAACAAAAATGAACAAATGGGTCCTAATGTAACTGAAAAACTTCTGTATAGCTAAGGAGGCAACAACCAAAGCAAATAGACAATGTATGCACTGGGAAAAGGATATTTGTATATTTTAAATGAGACAAAGCTTCATAACTAGGATCTATAGAGAACTCAAATTAATCCACATGAAAAAAGCCAATAATCCTAGATAGCAATGGGCAAGAGACATGAACAGAATCTTTTCTAAAGAAGACAGACGAATGGCTAGCAAACATATGAAAAATGCTCATTGTCTCTAATTATTAGAGAAATGCACATCAAAACCTGAGATACCATCTTAGCCCAGTGAGAACGGCCCACATCACAAAAACTCAAAACTGCAGATGCTGGTGTGGATGTGGAGAGAAAGGAACACTTTTACACTGCTGGTGGGACTGCAAACTAATACAACCTTTTTGGAAGGAAGTATGGAGAACCCTCAGAGAACTCAACCTAGACCTCCCACGTGATCCTACAATCCCATTACTGGGCATCTACCCAGAAGGAAAAAATCCTTCTACCAAAAAGACACTTGCACTAGATTGTTTATCACAGCTCAATTTACAATCACCAAAATATGGAAACAGCCTAAATGCCCACCAAACCAGGAATGGATTAAGAAACTGTGGTCGATGTATTTCATGGAATACTGTTCAGCCATTAAAAAAGATGGAGCCTTACATCCTTTGTATTAACCTGGATGGAAGTGGAACACATTATTCTTAGTAAAGCTTTACAAGAATGGAGGAGCATGAATCCTATGTACTCAATCTTGATATGAGGACAATTAATGACTTGGTACATGGTGGGGGGTGGGAGGTGGGGGAAGGGGAGAGCAGAGAGAGGGAGGGCATTGGGGCAAAGGAAGAGCAGAGAGATGGAAGGAGAGAGGAGGTGGGAGAAGGGAAGAGCAGAGAGAGGGAAAGAAGTGAGGGGGCTGGGGTCTTGACACACCTTTTGGGGGCAAGACACAATTATAGGAGGGACTTTACCTAACAAATGCAATCAGTGTAACCTGGTATCTTGTACCCTCAATGAATCCCCAACAATTAAAAAAGAAAAAAGAATAGAGTATAAGTTTCTTGCCACAACAAATAAGTAAATGAGGAGATGGTTATGTTAATCAGTTAGATGTAAGCATTCCACATTGTACCCCATAAATGCATTAATGTACACAGTTATGATTTAATAAGGAAAAAATATTGTTGTTTATAGTTCTGCAAGATATAGTTCTAAAAGTTATCCTTAGATATAAGGAAGAAAGAGTACTAGGGATCTCTTTGTGTTATTCTTTATAACAACATGTTAATGTACCTTTATTTAAAAGTAAAAAAGTTTGGCTCGGCGCCTATGGCTCAAGCAGCTAAGGCGCCAGCCACATAAACCTAACGTGGTGGGTTCGAATCTAGCCCAGGCCCGCCAAACAACAATGATGGCTGCAACCAAAAAATAGCTGGGCATTGTGGCGGGCACCTGTAATCCCAGCTACTTGGGAGGCTGAGGCGGGAGACTCACTTGAGCCAGGAGTTGGAGGTTGCTGTGAGCAGTGAAGCCAGGACACTCTACCCAGGGGCTCAGCTTGAGGCTCTGTCTCAAAAAAACAAAAAAAAAAAAGTAAAAAAGTTCAATTAAAAATTCAATTATCAACTCTTAAAAAAGAGAGAAAGCAGCAAGAACAGCTACGAAAATTTGCAAATAATAAAGATTTGTACTACCAGGTATGAAGACCTATGATGAAAAGATGGTAATTAAGACTGTGTGGAATTGCTGTAAAGTCAGAGAAATAGATAAAAAAAATATAGAATAAATAAATCAAGAAATCAATTCTATTAGATATAAAAGCTTGATACATAATAGAAGTAACAAATCAGTAAGGAAAAGTCTTGGGAAAATTGGTTATCCAGGTTCGGTGCTTGTAGTTCAGTGGGTAGGGCGCTGGCCACATGCACTGGGGCTGGTGGGTTTGAACCCAGCCTGGGCCTGCTAAACAACAATGATAACAACAACCAAAAAATAGCTGGGCATTGTGGCAGGTGCCTGTAGTCCCAGCTCCTTGGTAGGCTGAAGCAAGAAAATTGCTTAAACTCAAGAGTTTGAGGTTGCTGTGAACTATGACACCACAGCATTCTATGAAAGGGTGACATAGTGAGACTCTTTCTCCAAAAAAAAGAAAGAAAGAAAATTGGTTACCCATTTGGAGAAATATAGATCTGTACCTGAAACCTTAAAAAGAAACAAATTCTAGACAATTTAAAAATAGGAAATGCAAATTATCTAAAACTTTTAGGGAAGAGGAGATGGAATAAGATGGTGAAATAGAATCCACTTGCCATCATTCCCCTTCAGGAACACCAAATTGAACAACTATCCATGCAAGAAAATCTCTTCACAAGATCTAAATAATCAAGTGAGAGACTATAGTACCTGGTTTTACCATAATATCAAGAAAATATGCATTGAAGTGAGCGGAAAGAACAGAACAGTCTCACACTGCCTACACTGCTCTCCCTCAACCCACGGCAGTAAAGAACAGAGAGTGAGTTGGTCCACTTGGGAGGGGGAGAGGAAATTGTATGTGGGACTTTGCCCTGCAACTTAGTACCAGTTCCACCCCAGTAAAACACACCACCACACAACACACCACCCAACCCTGTGGGCCCTCATTAAAAGCTGGTGTCCACTAAGAGGATTTAGATTTGCCCCAGGCCAGAAAGGAATCTCTGCCTCAGCAGCAGGAACCTGAGTCCCAGTGCATTTCACCACTGACCATTTCACCCCCAAGTTAATTTCAGTGGCAGAAAGACCATAGCAACTTTAGTCGTTGAGTGAGCTCCAGTGCTGTGCTAGTCTGGGAAGTCATAGGGTTTGTTTTGGATGTAAGCATTTTCTTAGAAAACACACTTGCAAGGTTTTTACAAGTTTGTATTCGGGGATGAAGTTAAAAAGATTAATTTCTTGAGAGTTAACGTGAGGGGTTAAATAATAAACTGTAGGGAAATAATAAATCACTTTACTTTGAAGAACATTATACTTGTAACTGCTCTCTTTATATTATTGATTATGTATATTATTATTATATCTCTCCCTTGATCTTACCCATTGAAATCCAGGCCATTCTATACTTACTTCAAGTTGATTATGAAACTGTATGATCTTCTCTCTCTGAGGTGGCCACTGTTGTAAGCCTAATTCTTGTGTTGCCATAGCTATTGCTTTCTGAAATGAAATAAAAGGAAAGAATAATAAATAATTTAAAATGCATTGCAAATTGAACCCTTAAATTTTAATTTAATGCTCTTTAAGATAGTTCTTAATTTTTTAAATTCACCAACCCTATCTCTTTGAATAATGAAGATTATTATTACTCTCTCTAGAAAAATGCAATACATAAAAAATTCTGTGTTTGTAGACCTCTGGTAGCTCATGGACCATCTCCTAGATTAACAATTCATGCTTTAAGAAGTATTTATTTACTAACTGTTACCAGTATACTCCCATCCAATTATCCTACACTAAAAGAAAATGTAAAAGTTTGGTAAATTTTTGCAATTCTACTCACTGTTAAGGAAGGCTTTCAATTTTGTAAAGATTATTTTAATGCTTCAATGTTAAGCATATTTTAAGGCAGTAAATAAAAATTATATAATTGAAGTCATGATGCTATTATTTATACATTAATATATTCCAAGAAGTGGACACAGCTTGATCTTAAAAGATACTCAATATTTTTTGCAAACGTAAAGGAGGGATTTTTCAGTTTGGATATAATTGGTAACTATGTCTACAGCAAAAATTGGCATTTACCCTTTCTTTCTCACTGATCTCTCCTCTGCTTTTCATTCCTTGCATCCCTACAATGAGACAGAATAAAGTGACTGAAGGGGATACTCAGTAGGACTATACATAGGAGCCAGGCATCAACTGAGGGGCTTTTTAAAATGGCAAACCCTTTTAAATGCAGTTTTTGATGTAGCGGCTATGAATTTTCTGCATTTAATAGTATAAGGCTTGATACCTGCCTGGATATAAGGAAAAGGTCACATAGGTGTAGAATAAAAATAGCATTAGATGCACAGAAGATTAGCAGGCCACTTTTGTAAGCCTAATTCTTACAAATAACCAAAGAAAAGATAGACAGTTCATCCTGCCTGGCTAAAGATTTCCACAGATTCTTACTTTGGAAGCTTGAAATGAAATCATAACCCTAAAGTATTCACAGTCCCATATAATGTTTCTTTGAGTCAATTGGGTGGCCAAGTATATCTTATTTGATGATGTGGTTTTAGTAATTCTTAGCTGATGTTTTGGTCACTCTGAGATAATTACTCCTACACACTTTGGATATTATCATAGATAGATATGTGAATAAGTTGGAAGATTACAGTTGCCTATTATATGTGATTCACATTCTTGCATCTCAAATGAACAAACTGCAAATAGCATACCTTCAGAGTCTTCAGTATGATATATTCCTATGTGGATGTGTTATAAATGGCTAGTCATTGTATAAGAAATCAAAAATACAACATTAAATAAAAGACTAAACTACTCTAAATTTTACATTAAAATCATAACTTTAAATTGTAATCTTTGTAACACTTCTATGAACCATACATTATAATTTTTGGTTTGAGTAATAATTTATGAAATAATTAAAAACTTACCTGTTTATTAATGTAAAAATTATACAAATGGGGGATTGTAGCTGAAAAACTAATATTCTTGTATAGAAAACTGTTCCATAAGGTCAGCCTGCCATACATTAACTTGTAAAACTGATAAAAGATGAATATTTAATGAGGCTCAAAAGTAGAACTATTAGTGTGCATGTAGAAATGCTGTTAGAACAATAATGTTACTTTTCAAATTGTGACTTGAAAAACAGAACCCAAAACTTGTAACTGTGAGAAAGGAGAGTGGGGAGTTTGTATGCCTTGTCTGGCAGAGATAGAAAGATGCTCACATAAGACAGAGAAAGCAAAACTTGTCAATATTTTCCTTCTTTTTGTTTCTATCAAAGTAAAAAGTCCTCAAACTGTAACTATAAATTGAAATCGTCAAAATTTTTGCAATATTTTAGAGACAAATACCTCCACTGTATTTCTCCTTAGAAACCTCACAGAGCAAAAAAGGAAAATATACCAAATTTCATTTTCCTCAACATAAGGAAACAAAGAAAATCTGTGAAAAGCCTAAAACACACGTAAGTATTAAAAAGATAGCCAAGCCTAGTTAAATTAGACTTTGTATCCACAAACTGTTGGTCCAGAAAAGTCCAACTATTTTCAATTATGAGGAACAAATAATTTTTCAAACCTTACAATATCACCTAATGAATGGTCTTTTTAAAAATATATATATATAGATCAAGTCAAAGTTGTTAGTGCATTTTTGACCCAGATAGTTTAAAACTATTTTTTTAAAAATAGGTAGGGTCTCAGGAAAATGCATCAGTATATTTAATGACTTGATACATGACAAAAGCCTGGAAAATCCAGAAAAAAAGGAGAAATTCAGGGTAGAAGGAACAGGGAGGAGAGGCAGAAATGGAGAAGGGAGGAAGGCAACTAGATTATTAAAGGCTTAATTTCAATTTTGTACTGTAGGCAACATTGGTCCAACAGTTGTTTACTAATGTAACAGTTTTTAGGAAAGCAACTCTGGTAGCCATTTGAGAACATACTGGAATGCAGGGAGTGGTATAGAATAGTATTAAGAAGAGATATTGGGATCCTACTTAGACTAAGGCAATGACTATTGAGGTTATATATATATAATGGAAACAATAAAGGGCCCTACAATTATATAATTTTAATGATTAAAAATATTTACAGTTAATTCTTTTTTGTAACTTTGATCTAATTTGGTTATCAAAGCATCCCTGGGAAGAACTGGGAAGAACAGGCATTATTATCATCATTTGAAAGATGAAAAAATTGAGAAACAAAATATATAATGCCCTTTGTTGCTGAAAGGTACACAGTTTTTTTTTTTATGTTTTTTTTTTCCATTAGCCTATGATGCACTGAAAGGTACTTTTTCCCCTATAGGGAAATATATATCCCAGGTATTTTTATCCTCGAAATTACAACATGAATAGAGTATTTCAGGAAGATTTGTAATATTTTTAATCAACATCTAGTTTAATAACTTAATTGATATTCCACATCTAAATGACAGGTGATGATTTTCAAAGGTCCTTTTTACCTCCAATGCAAGTTGATTTGCTTTTAAAACTGTCACTCCAGGAAAAATATCTCCTATAATCCTTTCAAAAAGTGGAACATCTTCAGGAGGACATTTTGGCAAACTAGCTTCTCTTACAGCCTCAATAATGATCAGCGTTTCCTCTGCTTCAGAAAGATTGTCAGCATAGTCACTTTAATGGCAGAAGAAAACAAACACAAAGAACAAATTAGTAAGTCTGTTTTTCTCACATTAAAGACAATTAATATTATTTTTTAGAGTAGCTATCCCAATGTCCTTTCCTCTTTTCCCTCAGTGGATGGAAGCCGTGTGTTTGGGGTGGGATTAATCATGTTTTCAGTCCAGGGATGGGCTGTGACTGATCCAGAATAATTAAAGTAATGCCAGCCCTTGGATACTGATCAGGCATGGGTGTTGTACATGTATAAGGATTTTTAGTTGCAAGTGACATAAATGAATTTAGACTAATATAAAAAGAAAAATAACATATAGATATTTAAAAAAATCTCTAAGAGGGCCAGAACTAGGCTTACAAGCTATGAAGTTGGGAACAATAGCCAAATCATACTACAGAACTAGTCTTGTGATGTCATCACTGCCACCAACAATGAATCCAGAAAGCAATTCCTGTCATAGAAACACATTATTGATTTTGGCAGTAGAACTGCTCTCTGCCTGTGCTATTTCTGGTAACCCGCTATAGCTATTGCCACTGCTTTGACCCTTGCCAGAATAAACTCTGTGTATAGTCTATTTTTTTTGTCCACTAGCTTTGAATTCAGATTCTGCAATGCTGTGTCTGATTTGCCAAGGTTCTATGTCAAAGGTATAGCTACAAGGGAGTTTGGGAAAGCAAGTATATGGCATAACAGATATTCACTAAAGGAACATAAACTCAGCTGTAGTCAATTAGTGCCATGGCAGTCAGTTGGATACAGTAATTGAAGGGTAGACAAATAACCTGTACATTCACAGTGAAGTTCAGAACTTCAGTGTCTCTCGTTACTTACTATTAGAAGCCATCTTGCCATCAAAAAAAAAGCCAGATGAAGAAAAGCCAGTACTTGGAGGATTGCAGTCTATCTAAGATAATTTAAGCTGAAACCCTAATCAAAGTAATCATATTCCACCCCATCTCTGATTTTCTGATTAGATAAAACAATAAATTTCCTCTCCTGTTTAAACCAACTTGAGTTTTCTGTTAATTTTAACAAAAGCCTCCTAACTAATATAAGTTACCACAAAATACATCTGTTATTCCATAATAACATTATTTCATATATTAAATACTTTGGCATATATTGTAAATGTTAAACATGTAACCGAAAAGTAAGTAACTACATGTGATAGGATATGATTTTTGAGATGGAAAGGAAGAAAAGTATTCCCTGCAAAAGTGTCCCTCCCATTCTTCTGTTTATTGATGTCCAAAATTTTTAAAACCAGTATGGTGATAGTTTCTAAAGTCTTTCATCCTTAGTAAAAAATACTTATTATTAGATAATATTAACTAGGTAATTTTACTAAGAATTGTGATTAATTGTTTAACAAGTCATCTTAGTAATCTTGCCAACAACTTAAATAAGTGGGAAGAGATTGATCCTCAGTAGGTAATGTGCCTAATGTCACATAAATGGTAAATGGCTGACCTGGGATTCAATGAACCTTCTCTACTTAAAAAGGCCATTCATTTGTTTTGTTTAATTTTTAATTGATACATAATAATTGTATATACTTATGGGGTACAGTGTGATGTTTCAATACATGTGTACATTGTATAATGATAAAATTAGGGTAATTAGCTTATGTACCACTTCAAACATTTATCATTTCTTTGTGGTGAGAATACTGTAAATCCTCTCTTCTAGTTATTTTGAAATATACAATATTATTAACTATACCCTATTTTGTAATAGAACATCAGAGCTTATATCGCCTATCTGTGATTTTGTACCCATTGCATTCTTGCAGGTTTTTTTTTTTTTTGGCCAGGGTCAGGTTTGAACCCACCACCTCTAGCATATGGGGCCAGCGCCCTACTCCTTTGAGCCACAGGTACCCCCCCTCATTGCATTCTTATAACCACTTCGCTGTTGGGTTGGAACTGACATTAGACATTTGTGTTTCCCTAAGAATATATCTCTCTAAATCTCTCTTCTAAACATGTTTTGGTAGATAGATGGCAATAGTCCCCCTGAAGTCAAAGAAAGGGAGCCACACCAGAGGGGAAAATATTCCAGACTTCATTGTTGGGGCCTTCAGGAATAACCTTGACCTTTTAATATTTTCCCAGGACAGATCTTGCTTTAAAGGAGAATGAAAAACAAAAAACAAAAACAAAAACAAACAAAAAACAGCCCATAGATAACTGGGCAGGGGGAGGCAAGTATTAAATATAGATAGGGAGAGATTATGGCTTATATAAAATATTATATTGCTATAAAATACTGTTATCAGATAAAGGTAAAACTTCACTAAACTATTGCAAAAGAGTAGTTTCAGAAATGGCTTATGAAATTTTAAGAAAAAGAGGGCAAAAGTGTCTAATGTCTATGGTAGGCAGAAAAACACCCCCTGCAAAGATATATTCACTTAATACATCTAGAGTTAATGTCTAGAGTCTATGCATGTTATCTAATATGGCAAGAGTGGTGATTAAGAATCATTTAAGAAGATTATATCGTCATCAGAAAGTGATAGTTTGACCTCCTCTTTCCAGATTTGTATACTGTTTATTTCTTTCTCTTGACTGATTGCTCTGGCTAGACCTTCTAGTACTATGTTGAAGTGGTGACAGTGGCACCCTGAAACTTTTCAAAGTAAGATAGACAAATGACCAATACACATATGAAAAACTTGAAAATTAAAAAAATATGAAAAGCTGCTCAACATCACTAATCATCAGGGAAATGCAAATTAAAACCACAATGAGATCCCACCTTCCCCCACTTAGAATGGCTTTTATTTAAAAATCCAAAAACAATAGATGCTGGCGTGGATGCAGAGAGAAAGGAAAGCTTATACATTGTTGGTGAGACTACAAATTAGTACAATCTGTATGGAAAACAAAATGGAGATTCTTCAAGGCACTAAAAGTTGGCCTAGCATTTAATCCAGCTATCCCATTACTGGATATTTATCCAAAGGAAAAAAAAGTTATTTTATCAAAAGTTACTTGCCCATGAGTGTTTACTGCAACACAATTCACAATTGCAAAGATGTGGAATCAACTCAAGTGCTCATCAATTCTTTTGTGGCTTCTGGATTTTGAGTCTTAGTTTTAAAGTTCTTTATATGCCATTTTGGAAATTTTGTTTCTTCAAATACAGAATACTTCAATTCTTTTATATTCTAAATTTTTTACCTTTAAATTCTTTTGTCCTTCTAGAGTTTATCCTTATAAATTATGTGGACTATGTTTCCAATTTTATTTTTATCCAGATGTCTATTTAGCTTCCTAATACCACTCAGGCCTGCAGATTTATGATGTATTATGCCCAAAGCATAAATTCCTATTTCTGTCCTCTCAATACCATTTTAATGATTTAAATGTCACAATGTTTTAACAATAATTACAGAAGCTTTGTAATATGTCTTAATACTTTAAGGGATATTTGCCCTTCATTATTCTTGCTTTTCACTATTTTTCTAGCTAGTCGTATTTATTTTTCCACTTCAACTTTAGCATCAGCTTTCCTAAAAGCAAAAAGACAAAGTATTTTTACTAAGGCTATATTTTGTTAATAAATTAAAATTTAGACTATTTAAATCTTTATGATAAGTCTTTTAAGATGTTATGATGCATCTGATTCAAGATGGTTGACTAGATATAGCCAGTGTAAGTCTCTTCCATAGACAGGGCTTGAAATTAGTGACTATTTATAATCACACTTTGAATACAGAGGGAGAATACTGAAATCCAACAAAGTGACAGAAATCAGGAAAGCAGAGAAAAGCAAAGCTAAACACCCTGCTCAGCTGGAATCAGCAGGAAGACAGGTAGACTTCCCTGACATGGGGGAAACGTGAATGAGAGATTCCACACGCCTGCCAGGGACTTTTAAAATCCTAGTTACAGGAGAAGCCCCAAGCCCTCATGGCTCCCCAGGCTAATACAAAGACCTATCTGAGAGTCTGTGGAAACATTGCTCCAAGTTGGATGAAGCCTTGTAGGCTTTTGAGCCCTGAGCCAATCAGAAAGCCCAGTCCCCAGAGGTCTCTGTCCTATCCCCAGGCTATACCCTATGCTGCTACTACCACAGGACCACCAAGAGAGTTGAGGGGTAGGACTCAGGTGTGGGCACTTTTGGGTATCCTAAGGGCAGAAACTGTTGCTGCCCCTGAGGGAAAACAATGTGAGCAGTCTGAACCCCCAGCTGCCTTCCTCTACCGAGAGAAACCTGTTCTTCCTGGAGGCAAGTCTATGGCACAACTGGCCCTCTCACACCTGAGTATTCTAGCTGCAGCCCAAAGCCATTCTGGGAGCCCAGCCTCCAAGTGGTTTGAGTTTCCTCGGACACCACCACTACTGCAGGGCCAAGAAGTGAGCTGAAAATCTGAGTGCTTTCATGCCCTCAAAGGAAAGAGACCACTGCCACTGCTGAGGAAAGGAGCTATGGCCCCCTGTGCACCCCATAGATGCCTGCCTCTGCTAATCCTGCCAAGAGGGGCTCACTGCCCAGTGGCAGGCTCACGGTGCACTCACCCTTCCCGTTTGAGCATTCTTCCAGATGAGGAGATCACTCCAACCCCTCAAAATCACAGCTAGCACCTTGAACCCAGGGAGGCCTGACAACACCACCATTGGCACCTGAACAGTCCCCCAGAGGTCTGAGGTCCAGCTAGCCCAAATTGCCAGCAATACTAGAGCTAGTACTCACATGTGCCAAAAGGCAGTATACCTAGCTTCTCTACATGGAGTAGCAGTGTTTCCCACAGAGCAGAACAGGCAAGCCACAAGTTATCTGTTTTGGGCTAAGGGAAAAGAGTCTTCTTCAAAACCATTTAAGCAGAGAGCTGTCGGAAACCAAGCTTCACAGAACAGGGATGTAATGGGGAAGCATATCACTTTCCCACTACAGACCAGCCCACTGCTGGAGACAATAGAGAATACCTCATAACAAACAAAATTTAAACACCTACCCACTGGCTTCTGCTACAGCTGGCCCTTAC